GGAGAGAACCAGAAGGAACTAAAGATTACAATTAAAAGAGAAGAACACTTAAATTTGACTTACTAATACAGAATGGAGCAAAATACTTTATCACTGGACATACTGAGGGATATTTGTGAACAATGGACCCACAAGTTAATTTTAAAAATGTCTGCCATTATAGATAGACTGTGCTTAAAAGATGCTATGGAAGAGGAACAAGTTTTACCGGGCAAGACTAAGATTGATCTGAAAGTGGATTTAAAAATGACAGGCTACAAGAATGATTTGGAAAAAGATGCTACACTGGATATACAAATGAAATCAGCTGATGTCTTAATAATTAAAAGGGATATATAAATAACAAACCAAAAGAGTGACCTGGATATCTCTCCTATATTGGATTTACAAAGGGACTTGTTAAAGTTTTGAAGAATTTTGTGAGAAGGAACAAAGAAAAAATGAAAAGAAATCAAGTTCTAGGACATATCTTTAATCCCTTCAAATAAAGATCAAGATTGTTAAAAGTAAAAGAAAGGAATACAAAGTTGGTTTATTTGATCAAGGTTAAAATAGATACGTCGTTATCTCTGGTAACACTTAATGGACGTTTGCTGTTCAGGACTGAATGACAAGATTTTAAGGATTTATTTATAGATAAGAGATGAGGTATGGGAAGAAATCATTTGTTGTATTTTAAGAGAAAGTGATAAGTTACTAAAATTGTTTACAGGTAGTCCCCAGTTAAGAACGCCTGGTTTACAGATGACCCATAATTAAGAATGGAGCCTACTGTAGCAAAATTCAAGTTAATACACAATGATTTAATTACACAATACTACTTATACAGTATTATACAATAATACCGTTCCGGCTTACATACAAATTTGACTTAAGGATAGACCTTGGGAACGGAACTCATTCTTAAACTGGGGACTACCTATATACTTGTTGTGATGAAGGGGGAATTCATTTCCTTATATATTTCTTTTCTTTTTCTTTACTGTCTTATTTTCTTTTTCTTTTCTATTTTTCTTTCTCTTATTTTATTTTCTGTACTTTCTATTTTTTCTTTTCTTTAGATTGCATTAGTTTTTATCTTTTTAATTGTAATGTTTAATACAATTATTATATATATTAAAAAAGAACAGTTACCTCATTCCAGCACGTCTAGAAAAATCTAGAGATATTTTGGCCTGTATCTGCCCTTTTGACCAAATAGAAATTAACTCTCCAATCAGAAAGGACACATTTTAAGATAGTCATGAAAAAATATGCCTACGTACCCACTGGCTTAGTTACAGGTAACATGCCCAAGTACTGTACGTGAAATTTCTGGACCAACTCAGTCTTTGGTGTTGGAAAATCTACTGCAGGGAAGCAAAATATCAATTTCATCTTATAAACTTCACACCAGGCCACCCATCCTTATTTTAATGCCAGAAGACAATAATGTATCAGGTAGTTGATAATATTATTGATTCCAATAAATCTGTGCTCGAAGTCATATTAAAAAGGATCCTAATTGATATCTGGGGAATTAAGGAAATGAGTACTATAAATCTTCATTTTGTAAAGTAAATCCTCTCTTATTGTGACAGTTACGAGCCAGAGTCAGAGAAGAAGCTTACCTAAGCGTATCTCAAAATCCAGAGATTTGTGATTAGCCCGAAGATTGCAAATGGCACATGGTTTAGAGTCAGAATACAGCTCCTGTTAGAATTTAGGACTGGGCACTGCTTCAGATTTGATTCCCAAACGGTGCTATGGAGCACGCAGAGATGCAAACAAAGCTCTTGTCTAAAATTCCTCGGGATCACATGGAGCCTGCAGAGGGCAACCATGCTGTCCTGGGAAAAGACCAGGCTGCTTTCAAGGGTTGCAGACAAGCGCTATATTACATCTGCACTCTCCCACCCTCCAAGAAACATGTTTTCTGAATTATTTCCAAATGCTCCACAGCTCTATAAAATATATGAGACTAGACAGCTACAGCAAGCTAGGCTCCCTAGACTGTACTAAGAATGGTCCAAGGATCTGATTGAGTATAAGGCAGCAAAGGACTTGGAGCTATGATTTCCTTACTTGCCATAAACGGCTAGGATCCAGCAATGTCTTCCAGACAAGTACTCCAGCCAGGCAACTGATGTGTATGACATTAAAACCTGAGCACTGTTTTGTTCCACGTCACTCAATGATGCCATGACCCAGCAGGCAGGAAAAGCACCAGATACAGGCAGAGACATTGAAAAAGCTAAAGATTGTAAAGCTGTAGCAATGGGTCTATGCTTAGGATGGGAAACACCAATGAACCAACATCCCCCACAACTTATCTGAACCTTTTTTAAATGCTGGTCTAGTCTTTGACTCCACTGTATTATATATACATTTATTTGCAACCCTAGGTCTCAGCAAAATTCATATAAAATTACAACAATCCATATCAATTCAATACAACCCCTCTAATACCAGCCACACTATTTGTCAACATCTTCCATATCTTTCTTGTGGCTATAGTCTTTGACTCAATTAAAAACTGATCTATCGATTTAGTGCAAATTGTTTATCACGATTCTAAGCAGCACTGTCATTGATGAGCTCATCTCTCATGACTATAAACGCTGCTGCGTTGTCACAGGTTGTACCTTGCAAGGGAACATCGAGGGTGACATTTGTCCGCTCCTGTAATGAGTTGCAAGCCACGGCTTTGGCATTCTTCCGTTCAGCCATAATCTGCAGAAGATGGGAGAGTACATCTTTTTTTCCCCTCAGGCAAGAATTTTATTGACATTACAACCCTATTTTTGAGAATCAGCATTTAGACACCGATAAAAGGGAATTTTGTTGAAGGATTTATACCAGAACTCCAGTTGGTGTCAGAACGCATGCAGAACGGTTGAGAAGGAAATCTCACTGTGTTTCATGGAGGTCAAGTAATTAATGGCTCAGGATATTAACCTAATACGTTTGTAGGAATGAGCTTCATTAAGCTAAAGCAGGCTTAGGTTTTATGAAGCTTATGACAGTGGGACAAATTCGTGAGCCATATCCTCAGGGCAAACAATATTGAGAGAAACATCATGACCGAACTGGTTGGAACGTTTTACATTTTTCTTTGATTTACAGGAGTTATTTGCTGCCTTTAAGACAGGTACTATAGCCAAAAAGTTAATAGAGATGATCTATTTGCAGTCAAGTATTCTAGTACCCAGATTCTTTTAGCGGCCCCGTTATGTGTACGTTGATAGGACTAACACAGCAGCAAATGCAACTGCAGAAAACAGATAAGGGACCACAGGCAGGTGCAACCACAGCTGTTTCTGAACACAAAGCCCTTTCATGGCCCATCAGTAAGTATGGGGGCTGCAAGATAAGGAGTGAGGAGGATAACACAGCTAGTGGCAATTTATGTGCCAGCCTTTGAGCTTCATGCTCCTCCTCTCATAAATCTAACAACGCTATCAGAACAGTAAGTCACTATATTCTGGATATAGCTGGATTCTCTCACCAAATTCTCTCTCGATTCTTAAAGCAAGTTGCCCTAGAAGTGGGCAAAACTAGGCTCGCTCTTAATTTCCTTCTCTTGTTCTCAAAGAAGAAACCCATTCATATAGGGATCGCTGAGCATGGAGTTTGGGTTCAAAACTCAGTCTCTGCGAAGAGGTGAGAATGGAAAACAGTTGCGAGGGGCTCTGAAGCAGGGACATGTTGGGTGAGGAACAGGGTGAGGGCTCCCTTGGAATTAGCTACTGAAAGGCCTTTCCTGAGCAACACCGTCTACCAAAGTTCTCCTACATGTATTGGTGTGGAAAGCATAAACGTTCTTGTAGTATCAGTAATTCCACATGAACTGAAATCAGTAAGGCTACATCGTTTGACTGGGACAGAATTAGAATCACAAAATCATAGATCCAAGGTTCATAAGGAAAATTGTAACTACCTGATGGCTGGACATCTATTTTCATTCTACTTTTTTAAAGAAATCAAAGGCTACTTTACCGCAAAGCTAGATGAGGGCTGACTGATTTTTTAATTTTTTTTTTACAAATTTGAAGCTGGCATTCCTTTTTCAATGGAGGACAATGGCAGCAGCAGGGTGGGAAGAATGGGGGATCTTCAAAACCAAAGGATTAAAGGACAGAGACGAAAGAAGGAGACTCACCTTAGAACAGATTTCGTGGAGGCTCGTGGCAATGGCTTTTGCTGGGGTGTCACATCGAAACACGTGGCATTTCAAAATTCTTGTCTCTCTGTCTCTTGCTACATAAGCAAAGTCCCTGTGCAAGTAAAAGAAACATACATTAAAACGTACAGCGCCACGAGAGAAAGAGCCAGCTCCCACTGAAGAAAAAGACGACGGACAGATGAGAACAATTCTGCTCCACGGCTGCGGCTACAAGGTGAAGAGCAAGAGAACATATTCTGACCCTCTTTTTCTCCATTAGGGAATGTTATCTAGCAGTTTGCAGGTGCTGGTTGCTAACCCAGAGCCCTGCGGCTTCAAGCCTTCCAGCTGTGTTGAAGCTGAAATTCCCTTTTTTCCACCCAACGGGTAAAATGCTATTCGAACACTTCCGGTGATCATAAGGATGGAGAACGATGATCCAGGATAAACATTTCCTCACACACTGCCCAACAACCAACCCTCCCAATTTCAGAGGCACCACTTACGCTCCCAATTTCAAACCAATACGATTATGAGTCCATTCTTCTGCCAATGCCCTGAGTGCTAATTCTAAACAAAGAGGACTCTGCTAGCTCTGTATGTCAAAGGCATAGTTCCCTTTGCTTCAAAGAAAGCAATACATCTATGACGGGTCTGAAATGGACAAATTACATGATAATACCATGAGAAATTAAAGAGCAATCATACAAATGCTCTTAATGAATCCAGGGTGGTTGTTTTTTCTATTATAATTTCATCTGGAACATATCAAAATGAGATCTTTAAATTTTGATGAGGACATGCTGTCCCCTAGAGGAAAACAAGTTTCCTCCCACAGTCTGAATTAGTCTCCCTCCTTCAATTATCTCCCGTAGTTGCCTGTAGTTATCTTCAATTATCTTCTCTGAGATGCTTCCTTCACATGCCACAATTCCACACAGTTGTCGCATTACCTGGTAAAGCTGCTTTTGCAGGCTGGGAAACCATATTAGAAGATGCCTTCCTTTCCTTTCTTTTAAGCCAGATGCATTAAGGGTAAATGTGTGGGGAGGCTGGAGGAGGGAACCAGCAGCTGTCTGCTACAAAGTCATCTGTCAGCATTATCAAATGTGGATCTTTCCGGCAAGGTCAAGAGATAAACGGACTTCAATAATTAATTAAATCAAAATCCATAGTCAAAACTATGTCTGACCAAGACAAAGGGTTTTTTCAATGCTATCAAGTCCCATTCAATTCCAAACACTTGTTCCCCACATGCATTATTAGATATCTCCAATTTATATCTTCTTGCATTACCACTAAGGTACCTTGACCTTATTCATGGAAATGATAATCCTCTGAACTAATCTTTGGGGGAGGTGTCCCAACAATTTGGTGTTTCTAAAGTTAAAAGTGTTCAGCACTGAATTGATTACTGGCACATTGAGCTTGGGTTTCTTATCCATCTTCTTACTGGGTCATCCACTCCATTAACCTCAATTCTAAGCAGCTCATTTCAAGTTGATTAACATGGAGATTTATGAGCAAAACTGCTCCACTCAAACTTCTCAAGAACATATTGGTAAGCCATGAAAGCAAAGTATTCACCCTAGATGTCACACCAAATTTCAGCAAAGTGAGGAGGAAGTCTCAGCAGGTCATAGTACTTGGCCAAACTTGTCTGGAGTAAGAAGCTAATCAGGGTTAGGCTGGTTAGTACTTGGATAGAAGATCTCCAGGGAATTTCAGGGTTGTAGAGGATGGTGGGAGCTGAAAAAAGTCCCATAAGAAGGCAGTGGCAAAGATCTTCTGCACTGTTGCTAAGAAAACAGTATGGATTTGTCCATGTAGTCAACAGAAGTCAAATTTGATTCTAAGGATTCTATTTCTAAAATAAAAATATTTTATTTTAAAGAAGAAATGGAGGTGAAGAATAACTAATACATTAAAATTAATGCTTAAATCACAGAATTTAAGACCCACATGTAGAAATAAGATTATTATTAGGGGGATGTTCCTAAATCACAATTGTATGTAAATTCTCCTATGTGGAATTGATTTAAGACAGAAGTAATAGTTTCTTGATGGATTATTATATATGCTTGACAGCCTAGTCCTAGCTGGGCAATCTTAACCTATATGTAGTTTTTGCTGGGAAAAAAAAAGCTAGCAGGGGGAATAATCTACACATTTTACTACAGGTGTTCTGAAAAGGTTCACAGTGTAGATATTCTACATTGACTGAGGGTTCTGCTCTATGAACCACTAAGATGTCATTGGGAATATTCTAACAATTTGGGGTGGAAGCTAAGAAATAAAGATGTGTTAACCTACTAAGAGATTTAATTCACTTTTAAAAGAAAAATCCCCAAGGAGTAAGAAAAATACCAATGAAAACCCTACCTCCTCTAGTAGCACCATTATTTTATTGCGTTATCCACTGCACTCCTTGGCACATGAAAAATACATTTTAAGAGGTTGCCCATTCCTGATTTATATGAGCCAGTCTCGCCAAAGAGAGGCATATTTTGAGATAGAGAAGGGAGCTTGTAAAGTTAGATAAAGGATGTTGGAGAAAATGTGTTTGAGGTACAATCCGCTAAAGTTATTCTTACATTCTTCAGGAATCTTCCATGTAAAGGGATAAAGAAAGAAAGTGTTTTTCTACATTATTTTACATTAAATTACAGCCATTTACAGGCGGCTTCAGAGCAACCAGAAGATTGAGACCATTCTTGCTTCTTTCTACTGTGCCAGCTTGAAAGCCAGGAGATGATAAAGCGATGGCAGGCGTTCTTTGAACTTCAGGTGATGTATCTGATGAGCCACTAGCATTCCTGGCTTTCTATAAATCTCAACAAGACATCTCCGTGTAAAAGAAGCAACATTTTTGTCCTCTTGGACAGCCCTAAAGAAGGAGTTGTAAAATAGGTGCCCCAAACATTGTTTCCTACTCCCTTGCATGAGCTGACATTTACCAATCCTTTAGGCAGATACTCTACACCAGTTTTCTCCAACGAGGGTTACGGACGATCATTTCTAGCTCTGGTAGGTTAGCGATTCTGGATGGTGTCAGGCTAGCAAATGTTGTGCTTACTTAGCAGTAATTCTGCAATATCAGTTAAATTAGACTGCACTGCTGCTGTGCATTAAAACCAGGAAACAGGTTGTAAGGATGATCAATGAAACTTTATTGCATACAAGACTGTGGCTTGTTTTAGTTGATTAGCTTAATACGTTAAGAGAGTGCTTTCAATTTAAAGGGCCCTAATTGGCCAACTGCAAAAGAAAGGAGAATCTCTTTACAATTACAGAAAAGCAAAACAAACAGCAAGGATTTTTAATGCATTTACTTTTATTCTAGTGAATGGACTGGATCTGGAATTATTTGACAATCATTGGTAATGCTTATTTAACCACACTGATTTAGCATCCAATTAAGCACAATTTAACTGTGCAACAATGGCTCAATGCAGTGACATAAAAGATAATTTATGTGCATTTTGCCCAGTGTGAGCCACTCATTACATTAATTCCCCTTGAGATGTCCCTGTTAAATGCAACCTGAAAGGTATTACGAATTTCTAAAATGATGGGACCAAAGCCACAAATTCATTTCTAAAGTTTTCACTTTTAAAAGCGCTTTAAAGGCTCATAAAAAAAAAATTCTGAGCAATAACTTTCTCCCCCCGCCCCCATGAAGGCAGTAATTGCCACAATTTCCTCCTAGCTAATCCAGTATCTTGCAAACCACACTTTTGTCCCGTGTGACCAATAACTCTGAGATTCAATCCTGTTGACATCAACATTTGATTGTGTTTTTTTCAATCCACTAATGAATCAAATTGCCTGCAGAAGTAATTTATAGTAAAGACATAGCTAATTGTGCTAACAGACCTTCTGAATAAATCTTTTTGGGGGTTTTGGTCTAGCTCTGTACTCATCCCTCGGAAGAAAAACAATTTCTAGATGCTCTGCAATGTTTGATAAGATTCAGAATGGTCTTTGACAATACATATTAATTCTATGTGAACAATACACCAAAGGGACAATGTTACAACGCTGTACAAGGAAGAATACACTGCTGAGCTGATCTTCTGCAGATCTTTTTTTTTTAGAAACTAGTTAGCCACGGAAACAAACTCCTTCAAAGTCTTAACAGGCATGCTCTCCCAAGCCTTGGATAAAGAACCACATCCAATATCTTCTACTGTGGCAGAGACCCCTGTAGACGGAGATGTGGGGAGCTGACTAGTGAGAAACAGAAAGCCAGCGCTGGGTTCTCCAAGATGTAGAAAACCTGCTGAAGTTTATTCACCTCAGTCCCTTGAGCATCGAGGGACGGGGGTTGACAACAAAAACAGACTCTTTGGAGCCTCGCCAGTCCAAACCAAGTAATGCTCAAAGTAAAAGATCTAACCGAGGAAGTAGGTGGGTCCAGCAGCAACAGTTTGAGGCTTGTTCTCCCGCTTGTGGACCAACAGTCTCCATAAGCCTTCCTGATACGCTGGAAGCATATAGGCAACTCCTTACTTGCGTAGTCTCTGGCCCCTTCCTTTCCTCCATATAAGGCTTTCCAGTGTGAGAAACCAGCGCTCTTCTCTGCCAGGGCAATGAGCACAGGCCACGCAGCACAGAAAAGTGGGGAAGATGGTTTATACAGCAGATGCTTTCTCTACTGGCTTCTCTGTTGTCCTCTTGCATGCGCCGTCATTCTCTCCAACTGTTCACACCTGCCATTTCCACAGAGCAGCCTTCAGGCTTAACAAGCACTGAGGCTGCAGGCGCTCAGAGCCTGGTGCTGCGGCTTACTCACAAGGAGGCTGCATTCTCCCTTCACCCCACCTACCAACCCTAGTTGATATGGAGGAAGAACCTTTCTAGTTTACTAACTGGTTTCACTTTTCATTCTCCTTCAGCAGCCTATATAAATTCTATTAGTTGCAAAATATACACGCACACACTCTCCCTTCCAGCCACCTTCTAGCATCTCAGGAATTTTGCAGCTTCCCAAGAGTCCTCAAGTCTTCCTTTCAGCATGGAACCCCAGAGATCCAAGCCAGCAGTTGCTGGGAATGCTAGAAGCAGAGGAAGATATATCCACCCTCACCCACCAGTTCTATAGTCATGAAG